GAGAGAGAGAGAGAAAGAGAGAAAGAGAGAGGGGTGTAGGTAGAGACAGTAGCCTCAAATATATCAATGTTTGTACACATGGAACAACGTGAGCGAATTGGTTGAATTGACTATGATTTTTTTTTTTTACATGCAAGTTATGTTTTCTTCTGATTTTGTCGATTAAGTCAGCTGGATCTGAGTAGTCACATGAGAAAAGGCCCGCCTCTAGCCACTCTACGCTTGGACGACGATAATCAAATTATTCTTAATTTTGTCTTTGCTTTTTATTTTATAGCATGGGAAGCTCTTGGTATTGTCTTAAAAAGGGGGGTGCGGGTGGTTGCATGGCGCCACTGGTTGGTCCTACGTACTTCTTTACTTTCTCTAGTGATTTGTTCTGTCTGTTTTACTTTTTTCCAGCACTAAATGGCCTTACTTGTGTCTATACGCTTCTTTTTACTCATATTTAAAGGCGGGGTTGGTGGGTGTGGGTAGATTTTCAAAGTGGAAAAATCTGGCCTAAAGGCTAGAGAGACAAAATCAGAAAAAAGCTTTACTTACCCAGGTATGATATCATATTTCTGTACTTTTGTCTCTCAAGCCATCGGGGCTTCGTGGTCAGATGAGACTCTAGAATCAGAATGTGACTCTCGAGTTACTAAAATGAAAAAGGCCAACTGATTTTCTACTCATTCCCTTTTCTCCAATGAAAGGTAAACGATTATTGTGACCGATTCAGATTTGAACCTTTAGGATATTGATCTCAGAGAGGGATTGAATGACGATATGTGTGGTTGGACTACAAGAACAAGCCGTGTAAATATGGAAACAGTTCTTCTCACATTTTTCCTTGGTCTTTAATCACAAGCAATAAATCGTAGAGACAATTCGAACCAATTAGCCGTCCGTGCATCTTTTAAAAAATCGGGCAGTCTTTTACCATTGTGCGCGATTCTTCTAGTCTGTGTATGATTCGCCCTGCTTTGGAAAGTATTCATTAAAATTTGTTCTACAAGACAGTCTTATGGTACAAAACCATTGTCATTAACAATTGTTTCATTTACCTGGGATTTCCTGTGTTTATTTTTTGAAAGGTTGTCTCGTCTGTCGAAACAGACGTTTTTGGAAAAGACCTCCTTTCTGTTGCTTTTGCTCGAAGTATCCTGTCTTCCTTTGTTGAACGTTTTCGTAAATATATGTATTGTGTAAATGAGCTTCTCTTTAAGTCGAACTAACAATCCCCCCTGCCCCCCCCCCCC